TGCTTAGATTCATACTAGTAATTGCCTTTAAACAGTACAACTTTTTTCTTTTTATTTTTTTTTTATTTTAATAATTTTATTGACAAATACTAATAGATTTGTTAGCAACCCAGGAATAGGTTTTATCGTTCTATTGAAAAGTAAAAAAATTTACAAATTTTAATCATGAAGTTGTCCCATTTTGACTGATTTTGCTCAGACCTAAATCTGATGCAAATTGATAGGCAGTTGTTTTGTTTGTATGTGTATATATCTCTGTGTTTGATGGGCACCTGGTAGGAAATTCATGAATTAGATTAGTAAATTGGTTTATTGAGAGAGAGTAGAAATTGACTTTGGTTACACTTGAAACAAGTTGAAGATAATGGAACATCAATTGACAAGAATTTGTTTGAGGAAAGCCATTTTAAATACACCCAAATGTTTACATGCATTCATGGTTTTCAAATTCGTTCGACCTGTAACAGCACCGGCTTTCAGCTATCCCTGCCAACAAGCAAAATTGGTATTTTTTACTCTTTAACAAACATGAATCATTGACAACAAAGATGATTGAACTCTGATGATAAACAATACTTTTATGGTCAATTTCTCAGAAACATGCTGCTATCATAAGATTTTGTGTCAAGTCAAAGAAATTGGCTCCTAATTACATTTGTTTTTTCTTTTTTTCTTTGCAGCAATGCCATCAATAAATATTCGTTCACTGCTTCTGTTCTCAGGAGTTCTTCGACTCCTATTAATTGTCTATGGAGAATGGCAGGACACACATATGGAGGTCAGATACACGGATGTTGACTACCTGGTGTTTTCTGATGCTGCTTCCTTAATGGCCTCGGGCCAGTCCCCTTACAAAAGAACTACATATCGGTACTCACCTCTGATTGCATTTCTTCTCATTCCAAATTCAATCATCCATCGTTCATGGGGAAAGTTTCTCTTTTCTGTTTCAGGTATTGTATCTTTTTTTGGTTGTTGGAGTTTTACATCTCTTGAGGAAATAAAATAAAATAAAATATATATAGAAAAGGAAGAAAGGGTAACATTTACATGATTTGTTTGATAGGTTGGTGTGTTGGCTTATCATACTTTATTCAGGTCAGGTGTTGACTGATTTATATTTACTGTTGGATCCATATTGTGTTATTACATTAAAGTGGATGCTTTCAAAACTTTCTGGGGATTAACCATTTAAGGATCTGAAAAACACCTGGTGGTTATGATGATGGAACTATTGTATGTGTTAACTGTACAAGGAATCCCAGCTATTTGCAGTGTCTTGTAACTTACAAGTGTATGCTGTAAAGCTGTTGAGTCCAAATTATGAGGTTACCTGTGAATATAACTGTTTATCAATCTATTTATTTTTGTTCAAACTTCAAGGCATGCATAGTACGTGCGAAGTACATGTATGTATTGTGCACCGATATGCCTAAGTTCCACATAAATATCACTTTTTTCTTGGTGTGTAGGTGGGAAGGGATTAATATCACTCCCCAATCAAGGATAGGCACGGGCTGCACCACAACGCTTGATGGCTCGTGAATATTTTAAAACCTGACTTCAACTTTTGATATTAACAAAACTCATGTGTTTATATTTTCATTTACAAAATGGTGACTTTTGTTTTTGTCTCTTCTATTTTGTTAGAAAACTAGATAATTGTGAATCTTACATCCTGGTCGCACTGCAGATTTACTTGTAGGGTTGTTTATACGCAACATTTTGAAGCTAAGAGGGGTGCCTGAGAATCTGTCCACCCTTTCTGTAATGATATGGCTCTTCAATCCATTTACCTTCACCATTGGAACCCGTGGGAATTGCGAGCCAATTGTTTGTGCCATGGTTTTGTGGATCATTATCTGTCTCATGAATGGTATAACTTCTACTTCTTTATACCACCTTCTCAAATAAATAACATTGTGCTGCTGGTTTCTTAGGGTGGCAGTTATTAATCTGAAACAATGCCTTAGAATTGTATTTGTAGCACTCTTCATCGACTAAATTCCAAGAGTAGATGCTAAAGAAATGACAAGACATTAAAGGAAGATGCTCTATACATGTTTGATATAAAGAGAGGAGAATTCTCTTGAAGAATCCTTGGAAAGAATTTTAATCTTTAGCCAGATAATCTTTTTTAAATGCGAAAACGTCTCTAAAGTGGGACAGTGGGCAGAAACTTTTTGGAGTGTGTTTTCTCGTTTGAACTGTAAGACGTAACCTTGTTTTGAATACTATCTGCATTGCACTATTCTTGAAATTGCAAACATTAAGTTTTGATGCAGGGTTCAGGCTGCTTTCTTTACAGTTTAGGAGACGAAAGTAAACCACTTCAGTTGGTAAACTGGATCTTTCTTACCCTAGATGTCATTTTAATTGAGAATTTTGTTGAAGGGGAAAGCATCACATGTTTGAACCTTAGAAGTTGAAGAAGAAATTTTGCGACTCCTTTTTGCACTTTTGGGACATGGAGAGTGGGTGTTGTAATGAAATTTTAGAAATTTTCCTTGATTTATGCACAAAATACTGATTCATCCCTTTCAAATCACTACAAACATTTATTAATCTCCCTCTAACTTTATGTTTATGGGTTCGCAGGTAATTTGTTACAAGCTGCATTGTGGTATGGGCTTGTTGTCCATTTAAGAATCTATCCTATAATATATGTGCTCCCTATCATCTTAGTTCTTGATCCTCCACTTCCGGTCTCATAAGAAGCCTGCTCTTACAGAATGGAGTTCTAGTAACAGTAAGTCAGCCCAAAATTTCAGTGTCAAGAAAGTTACTGTTAAATACCGTTTATGGGTTGCTTTGACTAGCATGTTGACACGAGAGAGACTTATGTTTGGGCTAATCTCTGGGTCTGTCTTCGTCGTTTGTACTGGAATATTTTTCTATCTATATTGCTGGGAGTTCTTGCATGAGGCACTGCTTTACCATCTGACTTGTACTGACCCAAGACACAATTTCTCAATATATTTTTACCACATCTATCTTCATTATGAACATGAGTTTTCAGTTTTGGAAAAGCTCATCTCTTTTCTGCCTCAGTTTATAGTACAGCTAGCGCTCGTTCTCCGCTTTGCACAGGATTTACCTTTCTGTTTCTTCGTACAGACCGTAGCATTTGTATCATTCAATAAGGTACGTAAAATTTATGAACTTGGCTGAATGTATAACGATAAGGCATTTAGCGTATTTTACTATTGGAATAACTTTCTAATTTATGAACTTGGCTGAATGTATAATGGTATTTGCTGGAGGACATGAGTGCTCTTGTCGGTCCTGAACAGAATGTCTCTGCCTACATCCATAAATAAGTTTTAATTATGAAAATATGGTCTTTTTTAGGGAAATTTGTACTTATCATGCATTTGGTTTTGTAAATTTAAAGGGTTATATCTTTTGACAGGTCATTACAGCGCAGTACTTTGTGTGGTTCTTCTGCCTCTTGCCTCTGATATTGCCGTGGAGCAATATGAAACTTAAATGGGAAGGTTTGTCATCCATTTTCATATGGATGGGAGCTCAAACCCATTGGTTAATGTGGGGTTATCTTCTTGAATTCAAGGGCAAGAATGTCTTCCGACAGCTCTGGGCCTCAAGCTTAGTATTTTTGGCTGCTAATACTTTCATCCTGATCAGAATCGTCCTCCGCCACAGATTCTCTCCGTTGTTCAAGCAGTTAGGGCATACAAGTGCAAAGAGACCACTGAAGCACGAGTGAGAGTATGGGCTCCCCAATCACAAGTTTCACTTCTCCATTCTTGTGTGATTTTTGGCACTCAAAATCTGCTGAATATGGTTTTCACGAGTTTGGTTGTAAGGATTTCTCAGGTGAACAGAAGTTACACTCCATGTTATGAATATAGGGGTCCTGGCCCCTGCCCCTTTGAGATCCTATCTGGAGAACACTAAATCTTGCCACGTTAGCTCCAGTTTTGGAGTTTTATTCTCTTGGATATCCCTCGGTGTGACAAGCTTTGAAAACTTATTTTTGGATCGGATGACTCACTCGTATCGGGCCATTGGTGCTCGTTCTTTGTCCACTATTTTGTGAGCTGAAATTCTTAATTTTGCTAGTTGAAAATAAGCTTATTATGCAGAGATTTTCTTTCCCATTCTTGCAAAGTCATTGTTTGGAAGTCTGATGTCCAATCTACATGTGGGTCCACAATTTCAGAACTTTGATTTATTTTCAGAATATTTTATTATTAATTTTTCATTATTCTTCTAAAGTGATGTTTGACAATTTTTAAACCATTCGTCAATATATATACCTAACAATATTTTGTTTTATTGCTATGTGTTTTTATGCCAAACCTGAATGGATAAATTTGGATTGACCTTGATTTGAATTGAACCTAACCATAAACATTTCTCTGTTCTATAAGCTTGGCCTGTTCAGTGCAATGTGCAATTGTTTGTAAATTCTAGTTGAAACTGGATAATTAATATAACTGTTTTGACAATATAAATTGTAAGCAACAGCGGTCCCAATCAGTTGTTCAAAAACTAGTATATCGAGAACGGTTAATTATTTGTTTAATTTGATTCGATAAATCTAAAATTATATAAAAATAACAAATTATTTGAACTTGATTTGACAAAAAATTTATTTGAGATGGATTCAAAAGTTTAACAAATTAACCTTAAATAAATTTCAAAATCTATTAAAATTTTAAACTAACCCTGCTCGTTGAAAACTCCTGAATCCAATGTCCACTCAACCTCACCCAATCCAACTGTCCACAACAATTTCAATGAAATGTCTTTAATTTTAAAAATTTTGTGAATATAGTGGCAATTAATTAAGAGTTATTTAAAAATGATCTAAATAAAAATATTTATTCGAAGTATATCAGTTTTTTTATTTTTTATACATATTTTTATAAAAAATTAAAAAATACATTAAATAACCAAATCCCAAACAATCCCTATAAGTCTTTTTTGAGTAGTATGTTACATCGCCAGGTTGGACATTAACTGCAGCCTTCATAAATCCTGTGAAGGGAGAGAGAGAGGAGGGGAGAGAGAATACGGGTCATAGAGAGAGAGAGAGAGAGAGAGAGAGAGTGGTCGAGACTCGAGAGCACTACATTCCACTCATACCGACCATTGAAATCCGAAGAAAACTCTATACATATCAGAAGGTGAAGCCAAAACTACACGACTGCATTTCCTTATCTGGGTATGTCCTTTCTTAGATTCTTTCTCTTTCTTTGTACTGTTTTTCACTTCTATTCTTCTTCTGTAAATGGTTTTTTTTTTTTTTTTTTATATGGGGTGGGATAAGATTAAAAAGTGGAATGGTGATCTATATGTTTCTTTCACTTGATTTGTTGATGTTAATCTTTTGTTTTTGGAGATGGGTTTTGAGCTGTTATTTCAAAAGATTTGCTTTTTATACAAGTTTTGTGGGGTTGAGTTGTACTCTGTAATTGGGTAATAGTATTTCTTACTAGGGTTCTAGGGCTTTACAATTTTGGGCACCCATTCATTCATCACTTTACCTTGTGTTTTCTTCACTGTTTGTGCTGGGTTTTCTTTTATTTTAGGGGTTCTTTATGGCTTGTGTTGTGATCTGCTTTGCTGATTATGATTGAGAACAAGATTTGGTGTAAAGTAAAAGGTTTTCACAAATTTCTATGTTGCTCTGGTTTGATTTGATCTCTTGTTCTGTTATCTCAACTCTTTCTTTATAAAACATTTTTGGCTGCTTCTTTTCTAATCAGTCTCTTGGTTTTGCTTCAGCTTATAACTTGCCTCTTGTTCCTGTTTAGTACCCTTCATTTCGTAAATTGTTTCAATTTCTACAGCTCTCTTTTTTTTTTTTTAGGTTTGTTTCTGTTTCCTAGTAAGAATTTTGTGCTTAGTATTCTTTAGTTTTTAGTTTTAGACTTTTAGTTTATAATTTTATCGAACCAAACATATTGGTCCATGTTGGGTTTATGCGAAGGGAGAGTGAAATTTAAGCATATTGAATTTTTGAATTATTTTACAGCAAAAAAAAGAAATGTAATTTTTTTTTTTTTTTTTTTTCAATTTTTAAAACCTTTCTTCTTTGACTCCACACATCCTCAAGCTTGCTGGGAATCAATTTCCAACAGCAGTATTTGGGTAGGTTTCTCAGAAAATGCTGATTTTGGGCCTTTGGGCATGGGTTCTCAATTTCAGACTTATGTTGAACTAACTGCATTTGTTTCTTCTAAAATTAACCTTGGTTTTGTCAGTGATTTGGAACAGTGTCAGATGTAGGGATCTCATAACACATTTCATATTTCAGGAATTAAATTAATACAATTAGAACACAGGAGACCAAATTGCCACAGTGCATACATTCATTGGGATTCATTAGTGTAATTAGTCTAAATTTATATGTTGCTTTTGTTGATTATGATTGAGAACAAGATTTAGAGAAAGTAAAAGGCTTTCCAAAATTTCTTTGTTATGATTTGATCTCTTATAAATTAATGCTCTCTCTGTCTCACACTTCAATTTGTAATTTGTTGAAGGCATAATGCAGTTTCAAATGTCTTCTTGATTAGTTTTGTTTTTTTAATATTTTGTGTAATTTTGTTAAAACATATAATTTATAAAGATTTCCTTTTTCACACTTTTTTTGTCCTAATCAGTTTTTAGAGTTTGCTTCAGCTCAGAGATGTTGTGCTTATTGTTCTTTAGTTTTAGTTTTGGTTTTAGTTTGTAAATTTATTGAACCGGTCATATTGAACTATGTTGTACTCAGGATAAGGAAGAGTGAATTCTAAGAATATTGAACAGTGGAATTATATGTACTTTTAAAATCTTTGTTCTTTGACTCCACACTGCCTCGAGCTTGCTGGGAATCAATTTCCAAAGAATAATGCTATATATACCAAAAGCAGTGTGTTTGGCTATTGCACTTCCTTTGCAACTCCAGAATGCAACCACTTATCACCCAAGAGAACAACTAGCCTAACATTGATCTAATATTAGAACCCTCTGATGCCCTGAGAAGCTAGGCAACCATACACAAGATCCCTCATTTGAGTTTTGGTAATATTAGACAATTGCACGAAATTATCTTATTTGATTTATGCATGCTTAAAACCAAGTTTCATATTTTGTATATGATTGTTTCTCCCCTTTAATTTAAACCAGGTATAGTTCATTTGTACGTATTGATTTATAGTAGTTGTAAAAGTGGAATTGACTGGTTCAATTTTGTCGGAACTTAAAACCATGAACAGCATTCCTTCATATTGATGATATGATTGCTTTGAGTTTTTTTTTTTTTTAAATATTATTATTATATTAACTTCTGTTCGGTTTTGGTACATATTGCTTTTTTAGGTAGATTAAGTGGCTCATTCTAAAATTGGAAGAAGATAGAGATTGGATAACTTGTGGAATACCATCATGTTCAAGCAATCTCCTAGTAGAAACCACAGGTCCAAAGGCATCAAGGTTAAGCGTGTTCTTCAAATTTGTGTCCTGCTTGCTGTCTGCTTTTGGTTGGTTTACCAAGTCAAGCACTCCCATGACAAGAAGAAAGAATATGATGAAAACGATGCAAAGATGTCACATGAAAAGCATTTTGATGGTGAAATTTCGAAAATCGGAAGAAAAGCTATCCTTCCTGGATTGGAGGAAGCAACTATGAACAATGATGAAGTAGAAGAAGAAACTGGAGGAGAAGAAGAAGAGAACAAGCAGCATGATGAGGAAGAGCAAGAAGAAGAAGACAAGATTGAAGAGAAAGAAGATGAGGGGAGAGGAGGTGGAGATGATGAGATAGACGAACGTGATCAAGAGAAATCTGAGATGGGGGTTGAGCATGAGGTGGATTTTATCGATGAAGAGAAGGAGAGAGAAGAAGCTGATGAGAAGGCAGCTGAAAATAAAGATGTTCAAAATGAAAATGAGAATGAGAATTCTTTGGAGGACCGTGATCATGATGGCAGTAATAGGAATGCTCATGAAGCACGAGAGGAACATTATAGGGCTGATGATGCTTCCAGTGCGGTGACTCATGAGACTGAAGGAGGAAGTTTGGAAAACTCAAACAAGAATACTGAAATGAATAGTCAAGTAGAGGAAAATAAAGCGAATAATGCTGAGGAAATCACTGTTGCTCAAAACACTACAGGCGTAGAGGCTGCAAAAGGTGAAATGGCTGAAAATGTTGTTTCTCCAAATGTGACCAGGAAAGAAGAAAAGGAGTATCAGATTGGTTCATCCAAATCAGAGGACAGCTCGCCTTTGAATTCTACAAGGACAACAGTGGCAAACAATCAACCAGAAATAGGCAATAATAACTCAACAGAAGGGAGTTCAGAACCCAACAATTTATCTATGCAGAATGAAATGGAGACTAAACCGGATGCAAGTAAAGACTCTGCGTTGCAAACCGTTGCTCTGGGACAGGAAAATAATTCTAACACAGCAGCTTCCAATAACCATCAATCCGACTCAAATTTGACGATTTCCAGTAATACTGAAAATTTAGAAGCAGCTGCCAAAAGAGAGTCCTCAAATTCGTCAACTACTTCAGAATTTTCTGTATCAGAAAAGGTAACGACATCTAATGCATTGGTTGAAGTAGAGGGTACTGCAGAGGAACATAGTGATGCAACTCGGAATGAGAAGTCAGAAACCAGTAATGGTACAGATGTAAAAGATGAAAGCCGGGACTCTGCCGAAACTGAGAATGCAGATGTAGTTCACCATGACCCCTTTGATTCTTCCATCCCCTTAGAGAAGGATGTTCGCATGGATCTTGATACTTTGCCAGAAATTAGAACCGAAGGAAGCAACAATGAAGATGCTGCGGCTGAATGATAATTTTGATCTAGTAGTTATTAGTTTTAGTCTAGTTATAAAATTTTTGTTCTCCTTTGTTTTGCTTTTGGTAACATGTGGGGTTCTAGAACCCTTTTGCTTGATCGTGTGAAATATTGATTAATTGAGAGAATACGGTTTCAACTTTCCAGGTGAAGTGTAGGCAAGTTGATGATATTGAAGGTTTTAATCTGTATAAGCTTTTCTTTTATTTTTTCAATTTAACATGGATTGTCTATTTTGTGAGAAAAACTGAGGAATAACCTTGTTGGGGAATCAAGGGGCCTACAAGCAGCGTCCGGATCCTCTAGGGTGATTCCCTGAAGTGATCCTCTAGAGTGATAATTTATGATGCAACACGTGTTCAATTAATGAAATCAATGGTTGAGATGTTCCCTTTCCAAAACGACGTCGTTTTGGTTTTGATTTTTTTTTTGGCAGATCGGGAAGGAGGAAGGAATGGGTTAGAGAGAGAATCTCCTCCTTCTCTCTAGAACCAGACCCAGATCTCACAATTTCCAGCAGATGAATTTCACAATTTGGGTGAATAATGGTGAAGGAATAATGAGTTTTGGGTGAATAATGAATAATGGTGAAGGAATAATGGTGAAGGAATAATGAATTTGGGTGAATAATGAATTGCTTCAAGGACAATTTGGGTGAATAATTTGTGTCCTTGAAGCAAACCAATCGCTAAAATAATAGGTCATTTTATTTTTTGGGTGAATAATTAGTTTGAATTTTTATTTTAATTTTTGAAGCAAACTCTACAAAAAAATTGCAGAGAAAAGATGGAGGAGCTTCGAAATCGATCTTCGTTTTTTTTGCTATGTTAGTTTAATGGGTTTGATCATCTTTGTAAAATCTCTATATGTCCTTGAAACAAACTCTGCAAAAAAAATTGCAGAGAAAAGATGGAGGAGCTTCGAAATCGATCTTCGTTTTTTTCGCTATGTTAGTTTAATGGGTTTGATCATCTTTGTAAAATCTCTATATGTCCTTGAAACAAACTCTGCAAAAAAAATTGCAGAGAAAAGATGGAGGAGCTTCGAAATCGATCTTCGTTTTTTTCGCTATGTTAGTTTAATGGGTTTGATCATCTTTGTAAAATCTCTATATGTCCTTGAAACAAACTCTGCAAAAAAAATTGCAGAGAAAAGATGGAGGAGCTTCGAAATCGATCTTCGTTTTTTTCGCTATGTTAGTTTAATGGGTTTGATCATCTTTGTAAAATCTCTATATGTCCTTGAAACAAACTCTGCAAAAAAAATTGCAGAGAAAAGATGGAGGAGCTTCGAAATCGATCTTCGTTTTTTTCGCTATGTTAGTTTAATGGGTTTGATCATCTTTGTAAAATCTCTATATGTCCTTGAAACAAACTCTGCAAAAAAAATTGCAGAGAAAAGATGGAGGAGCTTCGAAATCGATCTTCGTTTTTTTCGCTATGTTAGTTTAATGGGTTTGATCATCTTTGTAAAATCTCTATATGTCCTTGAAACAAACTCTGCAAAAAAAATTGCAGAGAAAAGATGGAGGAGCTTCGAAATCGATCTTCGTTTTTTTCGCTATGTTAGTTTAATGGGTTTGATCATCTTTGTAAAATCTCTATATGTCCTTGAAACAAACTCTGCAAAAAAAATTGCAGAGAAAAGATGGAGGAGCTTCGAAATCGATCTTCGTTTTTTTCGCTATGTTAGTTTAATGGGTTTGATCATCTTTGTAAAATCTCTATATGTCCTTGAAACAAACTCTGCAAAAAAAATTGCAGAGAAAAGATGGAGGAGCTTCGAAATCGATCTTCGTTTTTTTCGCTATGTTAGTTTAATGGGTTTGATCATCTTTGTCCAATCTCTATATGTCCTTGAAGCAAACACTGCAAAAAAATTGCAGAGAAAAGATGGAGAAGATTGATTCCACTCTATATGTCCTTGAAGCAAACACTGCAAAAAAATTGCAGAGAAAAGATGGAGAAGATTGATTCCACTCTATATGTCCTTGAAGCAAACACTGCAAAAAAATTGCAGAGAAAAGATGGAGAAGATTGATTCCACTCTATATGTCCTTGAAGCAAACACTGCAAAAAAATTGCAGAGAAAAGATGGAGAAGATTGATTCCACTCTATATGTCCTTGAAGCAAACACTGCAAAAAAATTGCAGAGAAAAGATGGAGAAGATTGATTCCACTCTATATGTCCTTGAAGCAAACACTGCAAAAAAATTGCAGAGAAAAGATGGAGAAGATTGATTCCACTCTATATGTCCTTGAAGCAAACACTGCAAAAAAATTGCAGAGAAAAAAAAAATCATGTCTTCCCCAAGCAAACGCCGAGAGATGGACTTGATGAAATTGTTAATCCTCTAATTGATCTCTTGAATTGTCTTTTCCTTTGTTTCTTTTGAATTAATTTGTACTTTTGGTTTTATTTTTTTGGAATTTTGTTTTTTAATTCTTTTTCAAAAAAACTAGGATGATGAGTGATTACAAGGTTGAGATGATCAATGATGGGATGCAAGAGTTCTATGTACATTTCCATGGACCCACTGACAGTAAATCTTCTTACCCATTTCTCAATCACATGTTCTGTACACATCTTGAATGAAAATTTGAGCTGTCAAGAAGTTTCCTCTTGTGGGTCTTTGCTAATCTTGATGCATATTTTATTGATTTTGCACTGTTGACCATCTACATATGTGATTGTGCTTGTATATTCTTGTTGTAATTTTCACTTCTTTACTCTAAAATGATCACCACTTGTGGAAGACTTCTAGGGGAGTTACACCACTTGTGGAAGACTTCTAGGGGAGCTACACCACTTGTGGAAGACTTCTAGGGGAGCTACACCACTTGTGGAAGACTTCTAGGGGAGCTACACCACTTGTGGAAGACTTCTAGGGGAGCTACACCACTTGTGGAAGACTTCTAGGGGAGCTACACCACTTGTGGAAGACTTCTAGGGGAGCTACACCACTTGTGGAAGACTTCTAGGGGAGCTACACCACTTGTGGAAGACTTCTAGGGGAGCTACACCACTTGTGGAAGACTTCTAGGGGAGCTACACCACTTGTGGAAGACTTCTAGGGGAGCTACACCACTTGTGGAAGACTTCTAGGGGAGCTACACCACTTGTGGAAGACTTCTAGGGGAGCTACACCACTTGTGGAAGACTTCTAGGGGAGCTACACCACTTGTGGAAGACTTCTAGGGGAGCTACACCACTTGTGGAAGACTTCTAGGGGAGCTACACCACTTGTGGAAGACTTCTAGGGGAGCTACACCACTTGTGGAAGACTTCTAGGGGAGCTACACCACTTGTGGAAGACTTCTAGGGGAGCTACACCACTTGTGGAAGACTTCTAGGGGAGCTACACCACTTGTGGAAGACTTCTAGGGGAGCTACACCACTTGTGGAAGACTTCTAGGGGAGCTACACCACTTGTGGAAGACTTCTAGGGGAGCTACACCACTTGTGGAAGACTTCTAGGGGAGCTACACCACTTGTGGAAGACTTCTAGGGGAGCTACACCACTTGTGGAAGACTTCTAGGGGAGCTACACCACTTGTGGAAGACTTCTAGGGGAGCTACACCACTTGTGGAAGACTTCTAGGGGAGCTACACCACTTGTGGAAGACTTCTAGGGGAGCTACACCACTTGTGGAAGACTTCTAGGGGAGCTACACCACTTGTGGAAGACTTCTAGGGGAGCTACACCACTTGTGGAAGACTTCTAGGGGAGCTACACCACTTGTGGAAGACTTCTAGGGGAGCTACACCACTTGTGGAAGACTTCTAGGGGAGCTACACCACTTGTGGAAGACTTCTAGGGGAGCTACACCACTTGTGGAAGACTTCTAGGGGAGCTACACCACTTGTGGAAGACTTCTAGGGGAGCTACACCACTTGTGGAAGACTTCTAGGGGAGCTACACCACTTGTGGAAGACTTCTAGGGGAGCTACACCACTTGTGGAAGACTTCTAGGGGAGCTACACCACTTGTGGAAGACTTCTAGGGGAGCTACACCACTTGTGGAAGACTTCTAGGGGAGCTACACCACTTGTGGAAGACTTCTAGGGGAGCTACACCACTTGTGGAAGACTTCTAGGGGAGCTACACCACTTGTGGAAGACTTCTAGGGGAGCTACACCACTTGTGGAAGACTTCTAGGGGAGCTACACCACTTGTGGAAGACTTCTAGGGGAGCTACACCACTTGTGGAAGACTTCTAGGGGAGCTACACCACTTGTGGAAGACTTCTAGGGGAGCTACACCACTTGTGGAAGACTTCTAGGGGAGCTACACCACTTGTGGAAGACTTCTAGGGGAGCTACACCACTTGTGGAAGACTTCTAGGGGAGCTACACCACTTGTGGAAGACTTCTAGGGGAGCTACACCACTTGTGGAAGACTTCTAGGGGAGCTACACCACTTGTGGAAGACTTCTAGGGGAGCTACACCACTTGTGGAAGACTTCTAGGGGAGCTACACCACTTGTGGAAGACTTCTAGGGGAGCTACACCACTTGTGGAAGACTTCTAGGGGAGCTACACCACTTGTGGAAGACTTCTAGGGGAGCTACACCACTTGTGGAAGACTTCTAGGGGAGCTACACCACTTGTGGAAGACTTCTAGGGGAGCTACACCACTTGTGGAAGACTTCTAGGGGAGCTACACCACTTGTGGAAGACTTCTAGGGGAGCTACACCACTTGTGGAAGACTTCTAGGGGAGCTACACCACTTGTGGAAGACTTCTAGGGGAGCTACACCACTTGTGGAAGACTTCTAGGGGAGCTACACCACTTGTGGAAGACTTCTAGGGGAGCTACACCACTTGTGGAAGACTTCTAGGGGAGCTACACCACTTGTGGAAGACTTCTAGGGGAGCTACACCACTTGTGGAAGACTTCTAGGGGAGCTACACCACTTGTGGAAGACTTCTAGGGGAGCTACACCACTTGTGGAAGACTTCTAGGGGAGCTACACCACTTGTGGAAGACTTCTAGGGGAGCTACACCACTTGTGGAAGACTTCTAGGGGAGCTACACCACTTGTGGAAGACTTCTAGGGGAGCTACACCACTTGTGGAAGACTTCTAGGGGAGCTACACCACTTGTGGAAGACTTCTAGGGGAGCTACACCACTTGTGGAAGACTTCTAGGGGAGCTACACCACTTGTGGAAGACTTCTAGGGGAGCTACACCACTTGTGGAAGACTTCTAGGGGAGCTACACCACTTGTGGAAGACTTCTAGGGGAGCTACACCACTTGTGGAAGACTTCTAGGGGAGCTACACCACTTGTGGAAGACTTCTAGGGGAGCTACACCACTTGTGGAAGACTTCTAGGGGAGCTACACCACTTGTGGAAGACTTCTAGGGGAGCTACACCACTTGTGGAAGACTTCTAGGGGAGCTACACCACTTGTGGAAGACTTCTAGGGGAGCTACACCACTTGTGGAAGACTTCTAGGGGAGCTACACCACTTGTGGAAGACTTCTAGGGGAGCTACACCACTTGTGGAAGACTTCTAGGGGAGCTACACCACTTGTGGAAGACTTCTAGGGGAGCTACACCACTTGTGGAAGACTTCTAGGGGAGCTACACCACTTGTGGAAGACTTCTAGGGGAGCTACACCACTTGTGGAAGACTTCTAGGGGAGCTACACCACTTGTGGAAGACTTCTAGGGGAGCTACACCACTTGTGGAAGACTTCTAGGGGAGCTACACCACTTGTGGAAGACTTCTAGGGGAGCTACACCACTTGTGGAAGACTTCTAGGGGAGCTACACCACTTGTGGAAGACTTCTAGGGGAGCTACACCACTTGTGGAAGACTTCTAGGGGAGCTACACCACTTGTGGAAGACTTCTAGGGGAGCTACACCACTTGTGGAAGACTTCTAGGGGAGCTACACCACTTGTGGAAGACTTCTAGGGGAGCTACACCACTTGTGGAAGACTTCTAGGGGAGCTACACCACTTGTGGAAGACTTCTAGGGGAGCTACACCACTTGTGGAAGACTTCTAGGGGAGCTACACCACTTGTGGAAGACTTCTAGGGGAGCTACACCACTTGTGGAAGACTTCTAGGGGAGCTACACCACTTGTGGAAGACTTCTAGGGGAGCTACACCACTTGTGGAAGACTTCTAGGGGAGCTACACCACTTGTGGAAGACTTCTAGGGGAGCTACACCACTTGTGGAAGACTTCTAGGGGAGCTACACCACTTGTGGAAGACTTCTAGGGGAGCTACACCACTTGTGGAAGACTTCTAGGGGAGCTACACCACTTGTGGAAGACTTCTAGGGGAGCTACACCACTTGTGGAAGACTTCTAGGGGAGCTACACCACTTGTGGAAGACTTCTAGGGGAGCTACACCACTTGTGGAAGACTTCTAGGGGAGCTACACCACTTGTGGAAGACTTCTAGGGGAGCTACACCACTTGTGGAAGACTTCTAGGGGAGCTACACCACTTGTGGAAGACTTCTAGGGGAGCTACACCACTTGTGGAAGACTTCTAGGGGAGCTACACCACTTGTGGAAGACTTCTAGGGGAGCTACACCACTTGTGGAAGACTTCTAGGGGAGCTACACCACTTGTGGAAGACTTCTAGGGGAGCTACACCACTTGTGGAAGACTTCTAGGGGAGCTACACCACTTGTGGAAGACTTCTAGGGGAGCTACACCACTTGTGGAAGACTTCTAGGGGAGCTACACCACTTGTGGAAGACTTCTAGGGGAGCTACACCACTTGTGGAAGACTTCTAGGGGAGCTACACCACTTGTGGAAGACTTCTAGGGGAGCTACACCACTTGTGGAAGACTTCTAGGGGAGCTACACCACTTGTGGAAGACTTCTAGGGGAGCTACACCACTTGTGGAAGACTTCTAGGGGAGCTACACCACTTGTGGAAGACTTCTAGGGGAGCTACACCACTTGTGGAAGACTTCTAGGGGAGCTACACCACTTGTGGAAGACTTCTAGGGGAGCTACACCACTTGTGGAAGACTTCTAGGGGAGCTACACCACTTGTGGAAGACTTCTAGGGGAGCTACACCACTTGTGGAAGACTTCTAGGGGAGCTACACCACTTGTGGAAGACTTCTAGGGGAGCTACACCACTTGTGGAAGACTTCTAGGGGAGCTACACCACTTGTGGAAGACTTCTAGGGGAGCTACACCACTTGTGGAAGACTTCTAGGGGAGCTACACCACTTGTGGAAGACTTCTAGGGGAGCTACACCACTTGTGGAAGACTTCTAGGGGAGCTACACCACTTGTGGAAGACTTCTAGGGGAGCTACACCACTTGTGGAAGACTTCTAGGGGAGCTACACCACTTGTGGAAGACTTCTAGGGGAGCTACACCACTTGTGGAAGACTTCTAGGGGAGCTACACCACTTGTGGAAGACTTCTAGGGGAGCTACACCACTTGTGGAAGACTTCTAGGGGAGCTACACCACTTGTGGAAGACTTCTAGGGGAGCTACACCACTTGTGGAAGACTTCTAGGGGAGCTACACCACTTGTGGAAGACTTCTAGGGGA